TAAATATACCTACTGCGGCTCGGTTGCGGTGGGTACGTGCACGTAATTCGGATTAAACCGTTCCGGGATAAAAGAGCGGGCTTCGGCAACGGGCCAGCGATTTTTCGCCGATTTCGCGGTTGTTTCTTTGGGATGCTGTCGCATAAAGCTGTCCAGGCCACGCGGGCCACTAAGAAACAGAAACCGATTAGGTTTCTATCTCATATTCCGCTTTTTCCGATCCTGTATCGTTAAACTGTGTTTATGCATTTATGGTAATAGATGCAATTTGAAACGGCAGAAAAATAAGAGGAATTTAATAACAGGTACGCGTCATTTTTCATTCGCCGAAATTATTAGAGTAAAATGTTTCCGTCCGACCTCTGTTTTGTCGCAAATGACGAAGACAATTTTTATTCTGCATAAAGACCAACAGTTATGGCTAGAACGCGGATCTTATGAATTTATGACCAAATTTGGTGATTGCAATTTGTGACGGGAGAAAGCTTAAAAGAATTGTAAAATGCGATATTTTATTTTGAATTTATCAAAGCGACAAACGATTTGATATGAAGGAGTTTGATGTCGTCGGAGCAATTAATAAAATTGAATTTACGATTAGAATCGCCGGCTGGTGTTTCCACGCTACCAATAGGACCGTAGAACACGGGGGTGGGAACTCTCGGGAACAACGCGGAAACGACGGAATCGAATCGTGAGAATTAATAACACCGGCGAGAGTGCCGAGTGCGCCTTTCAAACGCATTTAAATGCATTTCAGGCGGCAGGGCAGGGCAACGAGTTAAAGCGGTCGGAATGGCGCGGCGCTTCGGCCGGCCTCGTTCTGAATATTAATTCGACAGAGACGCAATTCGACGCAGACCTTACAAGTGACCCTCGGAAAAATCGCGACAAACGAACGGAATCCGGAAACAGTCCCGAACTTTGATTCACCGTGGAATCGAGCATAATTGGTGCTGGTCGCGCTCCGAGCTGCGGAAATGTTCTGTTTGTGACATTTTTGCGCGGCGTTGCTGAATGTAGAAAATCTCGAATTCGCTCGCTGCGAACAGTCTTCATCTGACAGCCATAAATCTGATCCCTGCATACTATAAGATATAGATGTTACTAAATTGTCTATTGTAAAGAGATGACAACATTATTTGTGTTAGCTTTCAATTTATCTAGCTACTCAATTCTCGACGATATTTTCTCAAACAAATTGCAATTTTGTATTTTCTTTAAAGAATCTTTGTTTAATTAATGATTTAACATATAAGACAGCATTAATTCAAATCAGCGCATCGTTGCCTGCAAAGAAAATCTTGAAAGCGTTATTCGTTTTTAGTTTTGTTAGCTTTCAATTTATCTAGCTTGTGATTCTTTAATGAAGTTAAGGCTGAGGTAAAATAGAACCCTTTTCCTCACATATATGCGGATAATTAAAAAACTAAAAGAAAGATTTTACTTTATTCTTCTTCAAAATTCGACAAATAGAAAGCCGACTGCTGTGACAATTCTGTGAAAGTTTCTGTCTTCACCTTTCTTTATTTAACAATAAAAATATTATAGACTGTGGATCTTCGTATATTTATGATATATTCAGATTTTAAAAAAAAACCCAAAAACGTATAGATTAACGAGGTCTAATAAAATTTTGATTTTCTTTTCTCCAAGTTATTTTCTAGTTAACGAAAGACACTTTTCTTTGATGCTAATTTTTGTAGAATGACGTATGAAAATGAGAATTTGCATGAAGATCCACAGTGTCTAGTAATTAGTCTAGTAATTAGGCTTCCTTCAGCTAACAGAATAAAAATTCTACTAGCAACGATAAGAACGTAAAAAATAGTTATACCACTAACGAGGTAACATTAATAAGATCGCCGAATAAATGTAACAATTGTATTTCTTTTTCTGAAGTCTCTCGAATCAATGAATGCAAGATTGACTGTGTTAGGACCTACTACGAACGAGTAAAAATATCGCGTTAAGAACATAGTTGGATAGATCGTTGTACGAATCGTTTCTTGCAGCGGTTGAACAAATTATCACCGGCGCGGCGCCTCCGTGAGTCGCAAGAAGAAGTCGCAGCCGTATCGCGAATTAGGTTCGAGTTCACACCTCACCCGTTGTTGTGTATTTCACGAGGGCGGGGGAAGGGAGGTTTCGTCGGTGATTTAGTATCGAGTCCTCGAGCTTCTTGCCCCGACGGCTCCTGCAGCAGCTCGATAAACGCGACAGAACGTTTTTGTTGCAGTCTATTTGTTTCCCACGAGCCGGAGATTGGATTAACGGAACGGCGAATTCAACGGGATCAAAGGGGACAAGCGGAAACGTATCATCTCCTCCTCCGCAGACTCGACGAGAGCCCATCGAAAGAACAGATCCGCTTCCTTTGAACGATTCCGCATCGAGATCGATCGCGAGCATAATCGAAACGGTTTAAAGGCCATCGCACGGCCGTGCATTCCCGAACGAGTTTGACTCCCTACTTGGCGCCGGTCTCCATCAAGATAGCTTCTTCTGCTCTTTGTTTCCCTATCGACGGGATTTGTATCGGATTCGCGCGTAAATAGACGTCGGGTTTCGTGCATTCACGACGACCGAGAGCGGCCGTGGAGCCGCGCACGGAACGCCGAGTAAAATATCCCGTAAAACTATTTTATCCGGCCGGAATCCGATAGCATTCTTGATAAACAAGATTCCCGTCCGGCTGCAGCTTCTCTGAATTATTCCGACAGAATTTATGGTCGCGCGCCGCTCTCTGGACGGGCATTAATAATGTCTGTGCTTATAGGTCGTTTCAACGGACGATCCATTGTTGTTAGCAGACTGTGAATCTTTCTGCTGGACAAAAATCCTCTGCCTCGGTTGCACCGGACTGGAATCGTGCAGAAATTTATTTCCCCCGCTTAATGGTACTGTCTTCTCCTATTCACTTTTGTCACAGGCAATCTGTTGTACGGTCATTAAACTCGGCATTTTTGCGCCGATGAATATTTCGCTAAATAAATCAGACGCTCGGAAGCTGTTGCCACGTTACAATTTCCATGGAGGATTTCGTATGGTCAATTCCGTTCGGAACAGAGACTATAGAATGGTAAATGTTGTTAGAATCGTTTTAATATCGGTAGAAACCTCTTAATGCCATAATCACTGACCTAAGAATCTTAAAAACTATCTATATTATTTTTCTTGATTCTTGAGTGAATTATTGAGGTCTCTCGATCGGTTTCTACCGTTTAGAGAGTTAAATTCGTTAACAAACAATTTTTGATGAAATCGAATAAGTCATCGCATTCTAAAATTTACTTTAACAGTTTGCTTGGTGAATCGTTATTTTTTAAATCGATTATAAAATTATACGGATAATAAGGCGATTAATTAACTGTATCCTGTTTTCACGTAATTTTATAAGGATATATTCGACGTACAAATAAGTTCTTGTTCGAATGAATTTTTATTCGGATAATATCTTATTCGAACCTAATCTTATTCGGCTAAATTTTTATCTGGACAAACTTTCATTCGACTGGTTAAATTCGATAGCGTCGAATAAATTCGTTGCTCTTGATCTGTTATCGAGCGTATAAAATTTTGCCCGACTTTCGACCAAGAAAACGCTTGTCTTGCGCAAAGATGAGTAAATTAATTCAGGTCTGGATGCAATAAATCGTCGAAATTACGGTAACACGATCGCGTCGTCCAGGAATACCGTTCGAGAGGAAATCACTGTGTTTCTTTCCGATACGTCAATCATCGCGAACGCTAATAATAGTCTTCCGGTAGGTGGAGTGTTAGGAAATCTAGGATGTGTCACGAAGTCCCCGCTGGAAAAAGACGTATTTCCTTGAGCCCAGGTAGAAGTTATTTATGACTCGAACCGACACCTACGGAAAAACGCTTAGCTCGCGCTTGTAGTTCATCGAAGACGGCCGCTCGACCCCGGGCACGCTCTCCAAAATTGGTCTACGATTCTACGTGAACGAAAGCGCTCGATTCTCGATCGATCGAGAATCCCTGAATCTTCGACGGGAATCCTATTAAAGGTAGCTGGAACCTTTTAAGATCGCTCTAACTCAGTGCCGCCGGAGGCCGGCAATGAAATTGTCGAGATACGACGGAATCGATTCAGCAAAGTTCTGTTCTAAATTTCGTTTGAGAAAAGAATCGTCGGCCCTTTGTACTTCGCACAATGGATTTCTGATCGCGAAAGATCACTGTACCATGCTGATTTTTTTTTTAGAAAATATAGTATTCCGCTAAATTTGGAGAACTGGACTGTGCTCGAGAAGTTGTAGAATTTTGAACTTTCTCCAATTTTGTGAGGGAAAAAATCTGAAATTATTCAGCCTGTGCTCGTTTGAAAAAATCCGGTCTTTCGCGCGCTTTAATACTGCGGTGTTAAATTTGTTATAATATCTTTTATGAAACTACTGTATTTTATGCATTATTTATTTATTTATTTATTTATTATAATTATATATTACTTGAAATACAGAACTGTAAGAAAAATACGGATTCATTTATCGTCCGTTTCTTACGATCAATCTCAGAAAAACGTTTCCTATAGTCGAATAACCATTTAACATTGTCAAATCGTTTCTCTTATCTTGCAGAAACGTCAATGACGGTTTTCACAATTATCTCGAATAATTATCTCAAATAACTACGAAATCAAATAACACGTTATTTAAAATAATATTTCAAACACTGTTATTTCAAAAGTGATCACAGGAATGGCAATAATTACGAAATAAAATAACACATGTCATTTGAAATAATATTTCATATAACGTCGTATAAAAAATGTTCGCATAAAGATCCACAGTCCAACGTTCAATTAATTTTGCCGAGTTCCCAACGGATCAGTATTCGCTGCAAACATTTCGCAGGACCTACGAGGAATGGTCTAGCGATCAACGAAAGGTGAATCCGCGGATCGATTGTCGCGAGTGATGGTAATCGGGCAGCCAGCTTTCGTTATCCGGCCTTTCGAAAATATTTCTAGACAATACCTGTGCCAGAGCTGAGCCCCATTCATCGGATCAGCCCTCACGTCCGCGCCTCGCCTAGAACAGAGAACGGCGTTTCTGTTAATTAGTACACGGTCCGCGTGAGTAATTAAGGGAATGCAGCCGAGGCGACAGAAAGCGCGAGGGAGGGCGTCGTGCGTTCCAGCATATTCAATTTCAAAGTCGACATTATCACCGCGCTCTTTATCCCCGTCCGAAGGAATTAAAGTAACCGGGCACAATACGGACTCCGGACTCGCGCGGCGCCCTTCTAATCGCGGTATCGAAGCCGCGGGAACTAGTACCGGAAGCTGGCCGGGTCCCTCGCGGCCCGCCAACCAACATTAACACCTTGGATGAGCCCGCGGTTGTCCTAGTATGAAAGTACCATAATAGGTTCGAAGTTCAATTTCATTACCGACTGCGGAATTTATGCATTTATGGCGAAAATGGACAGACGAAATTGAAAACAGCGAGAAGATTGAACGAAATTAGGAATGTCGGTATACTGATTTCAGATTGTTGAAATTAGCTCATTCGTTAGCTCATTCGTCTTGCAATTGATGCATTAAATTTTTATTTTGCCTAAAGATCCGGTGGTCTGCTGATGACACGTTCTTAGAATTTCGAAATGAATTTTATGGCGACACTATTCTTCGATTAGATTTGAGACCATAAATATTATTAGGGTACTAATAATGTTATTATATAATCGACTATACTTAGAATCGTATATAATGTTTTTTAGCAATTTGTTATCCAGCATATTTCTTCGGGTACTCCTTCTAGACACCTGGCTTTGACGCCTTGGCCTTAATGAGGCAAGCGAAAATTTCAAGTTATTGCCGGAAACTAGAACTACATAATCAGATAATAATATTCATGTATGCATTAATGACAAGAATGAATTTTCGATGTTGATATGTATGCTAATTTCTAGGTTGATATGAATGTACGAATGAAGAGAAAATGGAAAGAGAAACTGTATTATATTTGCATATCAAACAGTCTCTCTCTCTCTCTCTCTCAGTTAGATGAAATAAAAACATTTATATAGAAACATTACTAAATAGTAAAAATGAAACACTTAAAAACCGAACAGATACGTTACTGTCAACTTATTAAAAATGACTAGGAAAAAACAGAAATTTCAAAGCGGCTTCTATTTCATAAAAATTCCATTAACGACGATAAGAATGTCTAAAATTCCTGAACAATTGAAATTGATAGAAATCGCTGGATAAAAAAACGAACGATCGTGTTTCCTTCGCTCCAGGAACGCGTTGATGTACGAGTGCTGGCAGTAGTTAGGCTACCAGCGAAAAGAAAGAGTAGAGAAATGTGCATCCACCACCAGGTGGACCGCGCCAAGAATAACTCACTATTCAACATCTACTTGAACGCGTCAAACGTTTTAACGAAGGTCTCGTCAGGATTTCATAACAACCGAAAGGTTCCACGAACATAGTTCAGTTCTTCCTTAAACTATCTCTATTATTTAACTGTAACATAATTCTGTTACAACTACCCAATAAATTTTATTGATTTCCTTCATTACAAGTGCTCCATGCAGTAAAATTAAATAGATAAAATCAAATAAGAAAATTAGATAATATAAAATAAAATAAAAGAAGAAAATGAAATAAAATGAAATAATGAAATGAAACAAAATAGATGGAATCAAATAAGAAAATAAAATAATATAAAATAAAATAAAACAAGAAAATGAAACAAAATGAAATAAAATGAAATAGCTAAAATCAAATAAGAAAACAAAAAAAATAAAATAAGACAAGAAAATGAGATAAAATGAGAAATAATGAAATGAAACAAAATGAATCAAAATTAAGTAAAATGAAATGAAATATTACAACTACTTACTACTTACATCTACGAATCCTATTCGTCAATATACCCCAACGTATACTACATTTTTTAAAGAAAACCAAACGGAACAATGAGAGAACGATGAGCTTACGCTCGTCAACTAAACAATTGTTGCAAATGTACAGGATCGAGAGGCTGTTCGAGGCAGGTCCTGCAGTACTCGATTCTAACAAGATCATTAAAGCAATTTTGTTTTTTTCCAGGACTGTCGCGATGGTCCGGATCCGGGTCACCGGCCCATAATGCGCTGCGCCCAGGCCAGTTTAGATTATCTGTGCTAGCACAGGTCGCCAGAGTTCCAAAGGCAGATTCCTCTAGTTTGCTAGAGTAGGAGCCAGCCCCGAAGTTCCCCCATTGTCCCGCAAGTTTGAAAGCTTTCGAGGCGAGAGCCAAGCGGGAACGAGGTGTCGGATAGATGTATGCATGCGTGCTCGCGATTATGGGCGCATCCGACATAGGGGAAATCGAAGACAGCTGTACACGCCGCGAGTTTACACGCGCAGGCACAAACCCTTCGCGAATTACGAGCCTCGATCATCGGGTTTATCATTCGCGGACGGCCGCGAGGAAATAGCCGGCGAATAATGTTTGTTTTATCAATGTTGGTTCTGTTCGTATCGCAGAGGGGGGCGGGTTTTCTATTTAGCCTCGCGTCGCGGAGGTCCCGTCGTCGATGCCGTCTGCCCATAAGAGCATTTTTAGAGTACACTCCGGTGAACAGAAATAGAATAGGTCGGCTTCTAGGTGGCCAACCTGGCGGGTTGGGTATTCTATAAAAAAGAAAAAAAGAAGAAAAGGGCGCCGCGCGCCGTTGAAGTTTCACTCGGCGAAGTTTGTTTATCCCTCGGAAACATTCCGACACGACTTTTCCTTACTTTCTTTAGATCGCAGTCGCCCGGAACGAGTGTTTGCAGGAGGTCGCTTCAAACGGCGCCTGTAATTCCATTTGATGCACTGTTTTACCTTTCCCGTTCTGGATTACACTGCGGTCTCGGGTAAACAAATTTCACGAGCCGGCCAATTGTATACGTGCGTGGTTGCTTGTTCTTCTAACATGTGGAATTATTACCGTCGCGGCTAGACTGCGCGTTCGTTCTTCCGTGATATCAACAAGCGGACGAAATTTCACTATTTTAGCCGCGCAAATCAATGTCTCGCGTTGCTTCGAAATTATTGAAAACAGCAGATCGATCGTGCATCGATTGCTGTTGATTTCTACATTCGACCGTGTAAAGCGAAGTCATAAACAAATTCCAGATGTCTGCATCGATCACGAATAAGAAAAACAGAAATTATTTGTTCAGTAGAAATAAATAGTAGATTTAATAATATAATTTCGATTACAATACATTTTCTCAATAGAAATTTTAGTTGCAATGAACATTAAATAGAATTATTAATAGATTTTTAAAAATAGATTTTTAATAGAAATTTAACAAACAAAAAATTTTTGATAGAAATTCGAATTATAATAATTTTTGTAATCGAAATTTAAATTACTACGAACTTGTATAATAGAAATTTAAATTACAATCAATTTTAAATGGAATTTTTAATTGAAATAGGCTTTTTTAATAGAAAATTATAGTAGATTTTTTTTAAGAAATAACGATTGGTAATGTAACTTTTCTCGGCAGCGTCGGAGTTCTTTTTCAATTTTGCTTTATTATGTTGTTACGATTATTTCCTTGTCATCTTGTTGCGTTTATAGTGTGTCTTTGGCGCATTTCACTTATATTCAACACCAAACCTACCAAGCAGTAATACTAACTGGCAGGTACTGCTTCACAAAAGTGAGAAGACCGAATTTATATGGAATTTGTAAAGTTTTTATTAAAAGAATTGCAAAATAAGAAAGCGGTCACTTTGACCGCGGTAGGTTTAGTGTTAATGAATCAATCAACGTTTTTCCACAGAACTAAATTCAACGTTGCTTTCGTCCATTCGAGTATCGAATCCATCGAGAGGACAAATCCTGCCGAAATTCAAAAACAATTCCTATCCGAAAGCCCTTGTCAAAAGCGAATCAAGCTACAGCAATAAAAGTATAACAATTTATTCCGCCACGGAATCGGATCGCGATTTTTTCCAGCGCGGCCACGACGATGACCATGAAAAACCCGTTACACGAATTTGAATCTAGAGAAGCGGGAACGGGAGCGAATCGGCGCGGCGCGCGATGGCTTAACGATCAACGCGCCCCTAAAATTCGAAATTTCGTCGGCGCCCGAGTGGCAATCGAATCGCGGCATTGACACGGTTCGGGGCAAACTTGAAAACGCGGGGCTCGAAACGAGGCCGCTAATTTCGTAGACGGTAACACCGCGGCCGGACGTAACGAGCGGCTTCGCCCGCGGCGCGCTCGTAAACGCGTGTTCAAGCCGGAGTCGTTGAATGCAACACGGGGCCTTCACGTGGACCGACAACAGCTGCGGGCCATCCAAGAACGTGTAAGTACAGGCCTGCTCGGAATCGGTCGGCTACGAATCACCGGGAAAAATTATCCTCGCGCGCGCAGAACCTCCTTTCGCAGCTTGCCATTGCTATTTTCCGTTGCGTCCTTCTACCATCGATCCAATCATCTCAATCAAAATCCTACTTAAAAATAAATATAAATAATAATAAATATAAATAAATATAAATTAAATAGTAGAAATAAAATAAGCAATCTTGCTCCTGCTTAAATGTAATCTGAATGGCAATTTCTATTAAAAACATATCACAGTTCAAACTTCTGATTAAAAAACTTCTATAATTAAAAAATTGACTCACAATCTGTTGTAATTTAAATCTCCACTAAAAATCTATTGTAATTTAAATTTCTATTAAAAATCTATTACAGTTAAATTTTACCTCCATTTAAATCTAATTATAGTTATAATTTCTATTAAAAATATATTACAATTCATCCTTCGTGCAATTATCACTGATTCTATGGAGTTCTTTGTTTCAACTCAGGATAATAAAGAATATTTTTAAAATCCATTTTGAAACTCCATTCGAAGTTCCAAATCCACGGATAAGCGTTCAATTCAAATAACAAAGCTCGCTAAACAATCTGAAAATACGGGCACAATGGATTAATTAAACGAAGAATACGGATTGCGCCGTTCCGTTTTACGGAATCGTCGAGGCTCGATATCTAGCGCGTGGATCGACGAAATAAACTG